TACAGTAGATGTGCAGGAAGTACTTAGGGAGTTTTGAAGTAGTGAATAAATGCTCTTTCCCTATAAAATAATGGTGTCTACACGATCGGTCTTTTTCTCCTTTGTCCCTCAATCTTTCTTACTATCCCGGCTGCCTCGAGTCCTTGCTGGGGCATCATGCTTAAGGATTTCCCGGCTGCGGGCTGCAGTGACCAATTCGGAGAGGAAACTCCAAATTCTGCCTTAGTGTGGCCAAGCCCCTGGGCGTCGGGCACCGTGAGGCACGGTGCAGTGAGGAACTGAGCACGCTTTCTGCCGGCTCGCAGCTCACCCCACAGGACCCTCCACCGAGCCCCCCCCGCCCCCCTTCACGGGCCACCTGGCTGCGCGCCCGCTGGGAGCGCGGACCCCCGCTGTACGGCGGAGCCTCGGTCAAGATGGCCGCGCCCGGCCGCGATACCCAGGGGCGCCGCCATGGCAGCCGCGGGACCCGCTGAAGCCGCCCTTCCAGCCGCCGCCATGTCGGCCTCCGCCTGTGAGTGGATCCTCACAAAGCGGGAGAGCGTGGGCCGGAGGAGGAGTGCAGGGAAAGCCGAAGAGACCGGGTGTCCTGCGGAGATGGCTGTGCCCAAGCCGACGGGCAGCGCCGCGGTGAGCGCGATGGCGGGGCGGGGCGGCCTGGTGGTCGGAGGTGGTCTCATGGGGGGGTCGGTGATTGGAGGGTGACTGTAGTCTCTGAGAGGAGCGATTTGGGAATTGGAGGCGATGCTGGAGGGCCTTCTGGCGGAGGAGTGGTCGTCTGCGCTCTGGGGGGATCTGTGGGGCAGTGATGGGGGCCCTGCGGGGTCCGCGGGTTCTACAGGTTATGGTAATCCATGTTTGGGGAGATCTGAGGTGACAGGGATGCGGGGAGTCTGCGGCACTCACGGAAAGGCCAGAGTTTGGAAGGCTCTGGGGATCGGAAATAGGGGCTTTGTGGTGTGTCAGAGACTGGGGAGGTGTGTGGCAGCTTGTGGTCTGTGGGAGCCAAGAGACTCTGGTGCCTGTGGTAGTTAGAGACTGGATTGTCCCTGTGTGTGTGTGTGTGTGCAGAGGTGCAGGGAGGTCCATTAGGAGCTTATCACAATAGTTAAGAGATGATGATGGTTTAGGATAGGGAAATGCAGGGAAATGAAAAATCAGATCCGGAATACATCTGGAGATGAGCCAGTAAGACTTACTGACGAGTTGATATGAGACATGGGGGTAGAGAAGAATCAAGACTTACATCTTGACTTTTGGCTTGAGGCACTGGATAAAGGGGTTTCCCTTTTCTGGGAAAGGGTTGTGTTGGAGACAACCAATTTTGGTGGATATAAATGGGAGCCAGAGTTGGATGACCGTGGTTCTGTTTTGGCCAAGTCAAGATGCCCATTACATGTCCAAGCAGAGAATGAGTAGTTGTTAAATGTATGAATCTAGAACTTAGGAGAGATTTGGGCTAGAGAATCCATATGTGAAAGGCTTCAGCATAGAGATGGTATTTAAAGCCACGAGATTGGATGAGATCACTGAGGAAGGGAAGGCAGCTAGAGAAGAAAAGTGGGACCAAGGACAGATCTCAGACATTTAGAGGTTTGGTAGAGGAGGGGGCGAGAGGGGAAGGAGAATGAGGAGTAGTAGCCACTGAGATAGGATGAAAAATGTAAATGTGGTGTCAAAGAAGTATAAAGAAGAAAACTTTTCAAGACAATGGGAGTTGTGTTGTCACCATTGTGTCATATGCTCTTGTGAGTCCCAGACACCTGACTGCAAAGATTTGAGTTTGGTGAGATGTAGTCAATGGTTATTTTGATTGATTAGAGCTTTTTCAGTGGAGTGATAGGGATAAAATCCTGGTAGAATAAGTTGAAAGAATGGAGGTAATGAAGTAGAGACAGCAGGTATAGACCACACCAGGAATTTTGCTGGTAAAGGGAGCAAACACACTGACATTACATGGGACATAAGATTAAGAAATGGTTTTCACTAGATGAATTGATATTGAAACAACTTTGTATGTCAGTAGGAGTGATTGAGTAGAAAGGGAAAAATAGGTGGTAAAAAAGAGAAAAGAGGTTAATTGCAGAGGGTGAATTCCTTGAGAAGGCTGTTGGGGTTGGGATCTAGAGCATAAGCAGAGAAACTGGCTTTAGGCAAGAGAAGGGACACTTCCTCCATTTTAATAGAAAAGAGACAATGATGGGGTTTTGGAAACAGATTTGGTGGAATTGGTAGTAACAAAGCAAGGTAGTGCTTGTCCATTTACACTTTCTCTTTGAAAGTATATTTGAAAGTGAATTTGTCAGCTGAGAATGGGAAAGTAGCAGATGCTGGAGATTTCAGAGAGAAAGGAGAACGTTTGGAATAACCATCTTGGAAAGAGGAACAGGAAACTCTCAGTATTGGATACCCATTTGCGATACGTGTTATAAACCTGAAGTGGGTCCAGGCAACTCAGTTGTTTGACTTTTCTCTCTTGGAATGTTCATCTGCAAGGTTGCAGGCAGAGATTAAGAGGAGAGTTGAGTTTGATTAAGTTTGAGGCTTTGGTAGGTAAGTACAGTGGAGAAGAAAATGGGCAAGGAAGTTAAAGCTGTTTTCCATGGAGTGCGTATGGTGTTAGAACAAAGAATCTAGGCAAGAGAAGAGAGAAGAAAAGTAAGGCCATGTGGTGATGGAAGATTGTGGAAAAGTGGTTAGGATCAATGGCTTATGGGGTCTGAATGCTTTTGGAGAACTATTGGCATGGAAGTAGTAGAGGAAGTAGGTTGGCAGCATAGGAAACAGTAGTTGGGGATAGAATGTTTTCAGTAAAGCGGTGCTGCCATGGTGTGTGGCAAGGTTTAAGGAATGGATGGCTGATGAGCAGGTGGCTGAGTCTGGATGTGAGAAAAGATTTTTGGAGTCAGGAGAGAGAAAGGCCAGGCTGTGGAATGGCTCCTCTACATTGATGTAGCGAGAGTGCCGGAGCTAGAATGAAGAGGAACGTGGTAGTCAAGTTTTCAGTGAACAAGGAAGAATGACTGTGCACAAAAGTTGACCTAAGTGGCCCCAAAGAGCATCCTTAGAAAAGCCTGCTTGCAAGGTTGACCTTTGGCTGATGTCTGAGAACTTAGACTTCAGAAGGCATCCCATCATTTCCAGAAATGATAAAAATGTCTCACTGTGCCTAAACTAGGTCAGCAATGTGGTTTATGCCGAGCTCCTGATTTCCTTCTGGAAATCTAAGATCTTTGTGTGTGCCAGGCAGGGGGTGCCTGTGAGTGCCACTGAGTCTCCGCTGTCTTTCCTTGGGAAACATTTCACGCATGTTCTCACAACTTACCTCTGGAGGAATCAAGTATGTCCTGTGTGACTCAGATACTTGTGTCTGGTTTCTGTTGACTTTACCCCACCCACCATTTCCTTAGCCGTTTTTTTTTTTTTTCTTTAAAGATTTTATTTATTCATTTGTCAGAGAGAGAGAGAGCATACAAGCAGGCAGAGTGGCAGGCAGAGGCGGAGAGAGAAGCAGGCTCCCCACCAAGCAAGGAACCCGATGCGGCACTCGATCCCAGGACGCTGGGATCATGACCTGAGCTGAAGGCAGCAGCTTAACCCACTGAGCCACCCAGGCATCCCTCCTTAGGTGGTTTTGCTGTGTGTTCCTTTGCTGTACTAAATCATAGCTACGGGTACAACTATATGCTGAGTCCTGTGGGTTTGCCTAGTGAATCATTGAACCAGAGGATTAATGGTTTAAAATCTCGTGATATTCTTTTTTTTTTTTTTTAAGATTTTATTTATTTATTTGACAGACAGAGATCACAAGTAGGCAGAGCAGCAGGCAGAGAGAGGAGGAAGCAGGCTCCCCACTGAGCAGAGAGCCCAATGCGGGGCTCGATCCTAGGACCCTGGGATCATGACCCGAGCGGAAGGCAGAGGCTTTAACCTACTGAGCCACCTAGGCGCCCCATAAAATCTCGTGATATTCTAAACATGAAAGGGATTTTGAAAGATGTATGAAAAATGGTTGAAAGTCATCATTTACCTCATCTTCAAGCCCCGAGGTACAGGAGTCATGGTTGGGCCGCAACAACCAACCTCGGCTAGGGAACCTTGTAAGGGAGCAGTGTTCTCAGGAGACGGGTAGATTTCAGGTAAATCGAGCAGGTGAAGACAATGGCCGAAGAGGTTGAAGGCATAGTGCAGTGATTAGGGTTTCTGTAAAGGCCACTGTTGGTGGAGTTCTGTTGGTGTCAGTGATTGGGGATTGGTAGGATAGGGGTTTGGGGTCATATCAGAGATAGACTGTGTTCCATGGGTATCAGTATCTGAAGGACCCCTGGGAATAGTGATTGGAATGTTTGGGGAGTGATTGGGGGAAATCTGTTGCTGTCAGTGATCGGCAAGTTTGTTGGGATCAGTCATTTGGAATTAACACCAGTGATTGGGAGGCCAGTGGCAATCAATAAGGGAGCTTATTAGAAATCAATGACTGGAGGTCCGTAGAGGTTACAGATTGTTGACATACGGCAGCTAATTGATTGGTGGCTTATGGAGGTGGGGGGGTCATTTTTCAATGTGAGATTAATATGTTTGAATGTGTATTTCTTGGTGGCAAAATTCTCCAGTACCTGTGTCATCCTCCTCTCACCTGCCTAATAAGAAGAGAATCTTTAGGGCATTTGGGTGGCTCAGTGGGTTAAGTCTCTGCCTTCGGCCTGGGTCGTGATCTCAGGGTCCTGGGATCAGGTCTTGCATCAGGCTCTCTGCTTGGCAGGGAGCCTGCTTTCTCCTCTCTCTCTCTCTCTGCCTACTTGTGATCTCTCTCTGTCAAATAAGTAAATAAAAATCTTAAAAAAAAAAAAAAGAAGAGAATCTTTAACATGCTTTAATTTCTCCCTCATCCCCCACCCCTACCAGTTGTAGTCCTGCTAATTTTTCTTACATCACACCTCTTGATTTTAAGGATACTTTTGTAACAGTTGTACAAGAACATTATCAAGTTACTTGGATATAACTAGACATTTGACAGGTTTTATTATTCATAGTTCTTTCTTGTATATTTCATCTTTCCCAATCTTGAAATCTTTATTCTGATGCACTTTTCCTTTAAAAAAAAAAAAAAAAAACAAAAAAAAACATTGCTTTTCTCCTCCTCCTCCTTTTCTGTGTCCCTTTCCTTCTCTTTATTTCTTTTTTTTTCCCTTCTCTTTATTTATAAAGCACAAAGGCGATAGACATTCTGCATCCTTACATGCCTAAAATATGTTATTTTTGGTTCCAAACATGATCTTTTGGCTGGTTATAAAAATCAAGGGTCTTGATTCTACCTCAGAACTCTAGTCCGTTGTCTTTGGTTATAGAAGAAAAGATAAAGACTAATTCTTTTGTTTTTGGTAATTTTCTTTCTCTCTGATGATTGTATAATTTTTTTATCCTCTTGAATAAACAAATTTGCCAATGGGACTGTCATTTGGGGGCCGCTACAACAAAGTACTATTGACTGGGTAGCTTATAAACAGCAGAAAATTATTTCTGACAATTCTGAAGGCTCGAAGTCCCAGGATCAGGGTGCCAACATGGTTGGGATCTGGTGAGACCTTCTGCCAGGCTGCAGACTTTTTGTTGTATCCTCACTTGGCAGAGAAGAAGCAAGCTGTCTTATGACTCTTAAAGGGCATTGATCCCATTCACGGAGACTCCACCTGCATGCACTCATCTAATTCTAATTACTTCCCACAGGCCCTATCTCCTAATGCCATCACATTGGAGGGTAGGGTTTCAACATATGAATTTTGGGGATACACAGATATTCAGTCCTTAACAGGGACATTTCTTAATATGATCTTTGTTTCTCAAAAAAAAAAAAAAATGCAGATGTGGGTGAAGAATTAGTATCCTATATAATATCATGATCAACACTGAATGGTTGAGGTAAGAGCAAATCATTATTATCTCGTGCAAATCACCCATTAATGTGGATAACATTAGACTGAATAGGAATATTGCTATTACAGGGATCGGTAACATTCAAAGATGTGACTATGGCCTTCACCCAGAAGGAATGGGAGCAACTAGATCCTGCTCAGAGGGACCTGTATAAGGATGTGATGCTGGAGAACTATAGCAACCTTGCCTCAATGGGTAAGGACAATTCTTTCATAATTCAAAATGTGTCTACTGTAATACCTTCTCTCTAAAGTTCTTGATAAGTTTGGCCTTGGCTATGAATTGAAGAGTTTTAATCTCTTGGGGTATGAGGCAGGATATTTGTGGAAGGTCTACTTAGTTGGGGTACATGTGCAATCACATTGTGAAATTTCAGAAGCCATATATTCTCTCCCTCCCTCCCTCCCTCTTTCCCTCCCTCCCTTCCTTCCTTCCCTCTCTCTTCCTCCTTCCCTCCCTTTCTTCCCTTCCTTCCCTCCCATCCCTCCCTTCCTTCTCTTTCCTCTCTTCTCTCGCCTCTCCTCTTAGAAGCCATATATATATTCTTTATCCTCTTAGGGTTCTGAAGTCCAAATTTTAGGGCTTGATTTCCGGGATGTTTGTTTTCCTAACACTCAGTTTTTGCCATTTCTTGTGAGCAGGGTTTCAAGCTCCCAAACCAGACATGATCTCTAAGTTGGAAAAAGGAGAAGAGCCATGGTTGGGGAAGGGCAAAAGACCCAGACAAGGTGGTCCCAGTGAAATAGGAAGACCCAAGCAAACAGGAACCAATGGAAGTAAGTTTCTAGTTTTTTGGTGATCCTTTGGAATTCTTCAATGAATAATTTATTTTTAAAATCTTCAAGATCCCATACCCTTTTTTCTTAACCAGGAGTAGCAGTTGAAAAATACGAGAATTTCTTGGGGAGGAAGAGTTCAAACTACAAAGGTTCTTTAACCTTAGAGATTCTAATCTCTCTTCCATCTACGAACCTCTTCATGTGTGAGGCTGAGGTTCATTTTAGTTGTAAGCCAGTGCTACTCATGGGAGTTAGCTTATACTGCTTGTATCAGTTAGCTTAGGCTAAGTTATGCTCTGTTAAGGAATGACCCCTAAATCTTAGTGGCTTCCAACAAGAAAGATTTGTTTCTTGTTCAGTCTGTAGCCTTATCCCACATAATCCTTTGGCCCTATACTGAAAGAGTGATCCCTATTTGGCAAATTCTGGTCTCATGGCAAAAGGAAAGAAGAATGAGTAGAACCACTCTTTACATCACTGATTGGAAGTGGTCGATAATCCCTTTCTATTCCTATTTCATTGGTTAATTGGTTAGAGCAGATCACCTGGCTTCTGTTAAGTTCAGCAGGGTAGGAATGTATAATCCTTCCAGAGGGAGGACTCAAGGGACAATGGGTCTGGGAGGTACAGTCTTTCCACAGGGAATAGTAATACAGTCTGCCACACCATTTGTATTGTGGTAGGAAAAAAGGGGAAAACCAGAGCTCTGAACCTCTGGTACCAGCCCCTGAGATGCCTAACTGACCCTTCCTTATTAATTGTCTTTCCTCATCCATGCTGTCCATCACTCAGCTTCCAGAAGGAGCAGTTCTCAGAATCCCATTACTGCTTACCTTATTTAAAGCAGTGCTGTTTTTTATTTTATTCTTTTCCCCCAATATCCTTAGTGTTTTCCCTTCATCACTCAAACTCCAGGACTCCATGGTATCACGTTTCTCTCCTTATGTGTTCAAACCTTCTTAGATCCATCTTCTTACCAAATCTCTTGGCATGATTCTCCCCTGCCTTTAATTACTTTCCATGTCCCTCCTTTTCACTGTGAAATGCTCTAACCCCATAGTGCATCATTATTTCCATTTACTCATTAACCTGTGCAGTCAAATCCTACAGAATTCATGCCTATATGTGAATTTCTGGCTTTATAGTAACCACTGCTTACCTTTCAGTGCATAATTTGGTGGTTTCAGTCAGCATGAAATTCTTGCCTACCTGGCTTGAATTCTACTGCTTGAATCTGGCCTTCTCTTCTAAGTGCTTCTTTACATTTATTTTACCAGATTCTCTTCCTTCTCACTTTGCTGAAGTGTTCCTAAGGTTTTGTCTTCTACTCTGTCTTCCTTTTTTTTTTTTCCTATTGTATTTCCCTCAAAAGAATCAAGATGTTTATTGTACCCTGGTGAGTTTTAAGGTAAATTGATCTTCTCCAGATAAACCTCCAGTTTCTTCATGTTGCACTCATATTTTACCTGCTTACAGGAAAGCCCAGTCTCACAGTATCAGAAATGGAAAGCTTTGTCCTTCTGTCTCTCTTTGTAAATTAGAGCTTCCTTTCACCTTCCCTATTTTTATCAGAGTCTGCTTTGATTTGAGGCCTGTCTACCTCAGAATTCCTGTGAATCTCTGCCTTCTCTTTTATTGTCCTCTCCTCAGTTCCTGGGTTGTTTGTTTACTTCAGTTCTCAGACATCACTCAAATCAGGTGTATATTATCTCATACCTAAATTGCTCCAATTCTTAAGCTGATTTGTCGGATCCATTTTTTTTAAATAATTCATCTTTGATGTTGCCACCAAATATTAAAATATTCAATTATTATTTATATCACAATAGTCCCCCCCAAAGGCAGAATGTTTACAATATATATTTAAGTGTCCAAGTGTCCTCTGAATTTTCTGGGACTCTATGAGTTTCCTGAAACCAGAGGGACTAGTCCTTCAAATGACAGATGAAGAGACCTCATGGAGTTTTGATTCATCCATTAGTGGCTCCAGTTTTGGCTATGTTCACTTTTCTCTCCGATACTCAGTGTTACAACTAAAAAATAGTCCTGGTAGTCATCTATTACAACTTTGTCATTGCTGCAGTAGCTTTCTTCTTGGCTCAGGTTCTCAGATAGTACTTGGAGTTTCTTCAAGGAAAGGCTATTCTATTCCATCCAATGATTTGCTGAGTCTAGTGAGCAATACGCTTCAGTTTCTGAAATTACAGTCATTTTAGCTTAAAATTCACATTTTAGTTGTTGTTTCAGATTCAGGAGAAGCTTACAGCCTTAAACCCATGCTCCGTCAGACCCAACTCTCCTAGTATTACCTTATGATTATACCATTTCACTAGTTCAATTTCCTTTCCACCCCCCACGGTAAATGTCTCTCACAGTGCTTTATATATTTTCATGTTGGCCAATCTCCATGATTGTAAGGGGTTCTTATAATGTTGCACCTCAAGGGGAAAAGTTTGAGTTTTGGTCCCTTTCTTCCTAGAAAGAGATTTGCCTCTATTCTTTCCAGCATCCTTGGGCATTGGAAGATGTCGCCTTTGTCATGCTCTTATTATATTCTTCCCCCCAAAATGCTTGCATCACTTAAAATTTCCTAAATGGAAAAGCAGCTGGCAACTCTACTTCTTCCTACTTTATCTATACTACTATATCTACACTTATAAAAATTGATCTTTTACTCCACAGGAACTAATCTCTTAAGAGTCCTTGATGAAAGGAATAGTATTTCCTGGCTATGTTGAAATACCATAACTCTTTTCTATTTGATCCCAGTTTTCACTTTCATGTAATGTTCCTTTATGACCGAGGCAGCTATTCAATTTCTCTCTCTCTCTTTCTTGGAGACTCATATCGGCTTTTCTCGTTGCGTCTGTTTAATTCCCACCCTAAAGATTTTTTTTTTTAAAGGTTTTATTTATTTATTTGACAGACAGAGATCACAAGTAGGCAGAGAGGCAGGCAGAGAGAGGAAGGGAAGCAGGCTCCCTGCTGAGCAGAGAGCCCAATGCGGGGCTCGATCCCAGGACCCTGAGATCATGACCTGAGCCGAAGGCAGAGGCTTTAACCCACTGAGCCACCCAGGCGCCCCCACCCTAAAGATTTTTCTGCTTTTCCATACATATAACTGAAAAAAGTCACCTCAAAATGGTAGTCTCAACTCTTTAAGTTTTTAGATTTTTACACATGTAGTATCCATACCTAGCTAAAAGAAGTCTTTGAATTTCAGTTCTAAATTCTTAGGAGAGAGAATATTATTGGTCTAGGTAGGGCTCTTTGTTTACCACCAACCAGTCAATTGTTTTCAACCAGGGGTTGGATCATATGGTTCACACGTGGTTGCTGCCATATGTCAGTGTGGGTGTGGTGGTCTCAGAGAAGGAAGACACACACTGGAAAGATATCTTAAAATATGTAATTTTTTTAATGTATGGAGGGAAGGATGTGAGCAATCATTTAAAGCAGGGAATCAGTTTAAAATTGATAATTAGTGGGGTGCCTGGGTGGCCCAGTGGGTTAAGCCTCTGCCTTCAGATCAGGTCATGATCTCAGGGTCCTGGGATCGAGGCCCACATCAAGCTGTCTGCTCAGCGGGGAACCTGCTTCTCCCTCTCTCTCTGCCTGCTTCTCTGCCTACTTGTGAGCTCTCTCTCTCTGTCAAATAAATAAATAAAAATTATTTTTAAAAATTGATACTTGATAATTAGTAGAGTGAGCTGGCAGAAACAAAGGTATGCTCCATACTTCCATAAGAGGAGGAAGACTCTTAGTGGACACCATGGTTTGAGCCAGGTGTGTCTCCAACTGTGACCATGGAGAGTTGAATTAATATAGTACAGGCTGTGGGAGCCAAATACTATGGATGGACTGGCTGTTATCAAAGCTGGGATGCTTGGGCTGAGGAGAAACCTCAAAAAATATTGACTACAATCACAAGCTCTTTTAACTTCGTTACCTAGTCACTGTTCCTTGTGTTTATTCCACCCCCCGTCCCATGCTGCAAGGTCATATTTATGAACAGGCAAAGTTTTATCTAATTACTATTGTCAATTAACTTTTCTTGTTTTTCCTACAACACTTTCCCCTCAAGTCCAAGAAGTTAGGGCCATTTGCACTTGGTATTTCACTCACTTTGGGATACTAGGCCTGAGTAAAGATGCAGCCCCACAGTAGGGCTTTTCTTTTATAAGTTATATTCTAGTATATGAGAGGACAAAGATTCACAAGAATGTCTTATTGAATTCCATTTTAGATGAAGTCCAGCAAGGTAATGACCAGCTAGAGAACCACCAGGAATCTCAAAACAAACTCTGTAAGGAAGTTGCATTCAAGAGAAAAGGTCTGACTAAGAAGAAAGGCCGTGAATGTAGTTCACTGGGGGAAAAAAGTGTGAGTACAAAACATGTTCCTTCAAAAAAAAGGCTTAAATTTGATTCACATGGAAAGAGTTTGAAACAGAATTCAGATTTACCTGGTCATATAAGAAACTATGCAAAAAAGAAACCTAATGTAGCTAAAGAGCACAAGAAATCATTCAGCCATAGCTTACCTGATACAAAGAAAGACAAAAATCAAGCTGGAAAGAAACAAAAATTATCCAACCATAGCTTATCTAATAAGCATGACAAAACTCAAACTGGCAAGAAACATGAGAAATTAGCTCATCATAGCTTATCCGATACTAAACGGGACAAAATTCAAACTGGAGAGAAACATGAGAAATCATCCAGCCATAGCTCATCTCCTACTAAGTGTGACAAAACTCAAGCTAAAGCAAAACCCTACGAATGTAATCAATGTGGGAAGGTTCTCAGCCATAAACAAGGACTCATTGACCATCAGAGAATTCATACTGGAGAGAAACCATACGAATGTAATGAATGTGGGATAGCCTTTAGCCAAAAGTCACACCTCGTTGTACATCAAAGAACTCACACTGGAGAAAAACCGTATGAATGTATTCAGTGTGGCAAAGCCCACAGTCATAAACATGCCCTCACTGACCATTTGAGAGTTCATACCGGGGAAAAACCCTATAAATGTACTGAATGTGGGAAAACCTTTAGACATAGCTCAAACCTTATTCAACATGTGAGATCTCATACAGGTGAGAAGCCCTATGAATGTAAGGAATGTGGAAAATCCTTTAGGTATAACTCATCTCTTACTGAGCATGTGAGAACTCATACGGGTGAAATACCATATGAATGTAATGAATGTGGAAAGGCTTTTAAGTATAGCTCATCTCTTACTAAACATATGAGAATTCATACGGGTGAGAAACCCTTTGAATGTAATGAATGTGGGAAAGCTTTCAGCAAGAAGTCACACCTCATTATACATCAAAGAACTCATACTAAGGAGAAGCCCTATAAATGTAATGAATGTGGAAAAGCATTTGGACATAGCTCTTCTCTTACTTACCACATGAGAACTCATACAGGTGAAAGTCCTTTTGAATGTAATCAATGTGGGAAGGCCTTCAAACAGATTGAAGGCCTTACTCAACATCAGAGAGTTCATACTGGGGAGAAACCCTTTGAATGTAATGAATGTGGGAAAGCTTTTAGCCAAAAGTCGCACCTCATTGTACATCAGAGAACTCATACTGGGGAGAAACCTTTTGAATGTAATGAATGTGGAAAGGCTTTCAATGTGAAGTCACAGCTTGTTATACATCAGAGATCCCACACTGGAGAGAAACCCTATGAATGTAATGAATGTGGAAAAGCTTTCAAACAAAATGCACCCCTTACCAAACATGTGAAAACTCATTCAGAAGAAAAATCTCATGAGTGAAATAAATGTGGGAAATCTTTTAATTCAAACTAAAGGTTTTATTTAACCTTAGTAGGATTCTGAATTTTAAGGATGTTAGAAAGCCTTTAATAAGAAGTCACACCTAATTACACATGAGAGAATTTGAAAGTGAATCTTATGTAGAAGCAATGGATGATACCAACCTTTTATAAAAAACATTGTTTTAAAAATAATCATTAATTATTTATATATTCAGACCCAAATATAAAGCTTTAAAAATCATTAATTAGCTGAATAATCAGAGCAATAGAGAATTTGCCTATCTGTTAATTTCCTTGTATAAGTGTGTCTGGCCATTGGTATGAGCCTCATCTTTGATATTATCACCTAACCCTTTTTTAATGTCTTGTTAGCTTCTACATCAGCTGGAAACTTTCTAAAAGTTATTTATGTAAAAAATAGTAACACAAAATTAAGAAAAAAATAAAAGAAAGAGGCTGAGGATAGGGACATCATTCTCTACCAGCACCAGTGTATTGTTAAGTGAAAAAAGCGGGTTGCTGAACTGTGTGTATAGTATGTTCCCACTTATGTGCAAAAGGGGTGTTTACCTGTCCCTCTCTGTCTATGTATGTTTGTACATATGTATGTATACATATATTTGTATGTGAATAGACTTGGTTTGAAAAAATATAGAAGAAGCTTTATAGTGGTTGTCATGAACAAAAGAGTACAGGAGTGAGGACTAGGATGGGAGGGAGACCTCCTTTTTATTATATACTATTGGAATTTTTAAATAATGTACATGGGTTATTTTCACAATTAAAATCTTTTTAATATGCATACATCAACACTGATTAATATTTTCACTGAGCTCACTCCGTGGTGGTGTTTGATGAAGTGTCTATGCCTGTTATCAAGGGTGATGAATCTGAGGATATGCTACTAAACTTGATATTGAATTCACAAAGACTTTTCCTATCCAACACTCATCTTTTTATTAAAATAATGAATTGCAATTGTAATTTAGCACCGTGTTTCTTCTATATGCCATATTTTTTAAAAGATACGTTGTGATTGCAGGTGAATGAAAGTGATTTTCTGAACAGTCACTCCTTTTTATCACATATTCAGAGTACTTATAAATAAACCCCTCAATCTGGGATTTCAAATGTGTTGCAACAAATGCCACTGCGTCCTGTTCTTGTTCAATAGCAGACATTGTTAATGGATCACTGCACTTTTTCTGAGTGAACCTAGACTTGGCCTCAGAGTCTCTCCTAAGCATGTATTCCAAAAGATAGTGTGAATCAATTTGGGTTTCCAGATGAGAACTATTTTCTACTGCATACCTATTTACTATTATTACTTTTTACCTCATAAGTCATGGATAAAAAAATACAACTGAATTGTTTTTGAATTGTTACACTAAAAACAGTGACAGAAGGACAAAAATGGTTTTGTTATGTAAGGTAATAATATTTGGCATGCATGTATCCTTTTACATTTTCACAGTACATTCACTACATTACCTCATTTGTTCTTCAGAATAAACATATGGGTCAATAAGCAAGCCTTTTCTAGTGATCAATTCTGCTCAATAAATATTTTACCTGGATACTAGTCTAGCATAATGATGGACCCTCAACAAATACGTGATCAAGTGCCATTTTTGCAAATACTTCCCATATCAAGTTCCTGTCTTCCCGATTTCCTCATGTCAGAGAATTAACAGACGTAAGTATTGAGAATGAAATTGTGTGTGTGTGCATTCATGTGTGCACACGTGCATTGAAAAATCAACACGTGGATGTTAGAACCTCATTTCCAAGTAACTTATTTACTCCCACAGAAGGAAAATGCAATGTGAAAGCCATTTTCCATCAGTAACTTATAACCAGGTGGAAGTCTGGTACTATGCACAGAATGAATCCTCACTGTCCAGAGCTGTGGAAAATCTGCACTTTTTTTAAAAAAAGATTTTATTTATTTATTTGACAGACAGAGATCACAAGCAGGCAGAGAAACAGGCAGAGAGAGAGAGAGAGAGAGGAGGAAGCAGGCTCCCCGCTGAGCAGAGAGCTCGACCCGGGGCTCAATCCCAGGACCCTGGGACCATGACCCGAGCCGAAGGCAGAGGCTTTGACCCACTGAGCCACCCAGGTGCCCCAAAGTCTGCACTTTTTAGAAGGATAAAACAGTTACATGTTATGGCCATGTTAAATTTCCCACACTTCTTGGAGAATCCATAATAGTACCCCATACCTGGGAAAGTATGCCTGAATAGTAGAAATGAATACTGAAAGCCATCCTATAGAGTAAGAAAGGAATTAAAAATTAGCATCAATAAATGGGGAAGTGATGTCTAAAATTTACTGGAGGTGAGGGATAAAGAAAATAGACATACAGAGGTGAGTCTAAACCAATGATAAGATGTATCAAAATTGCCTGGAGAGTTTGCTAAAACACAGACTTTAGAAATGGGCCCCACCTACAGAGTTTCAGATTTAGTAGGTCGGGGAGGGCGGAGGTGGCTGAGATTTTGCATTTTTAATAACTTGCCAGAGATGCTGGTGCTGCTGGTCTGGGGAGCACTTTGAGAAACACTGATTTAAATCATTGTTGAAGTAAATTTAAAAAGTATTTAAAAATGTTTCTGAGATATTTCTTTAATATGAAGATAATGTTTATATACACATATACATATGTTGGAAAGTGCATATCACCATCATTATGTGGACAGTGATTCATTCAGCATTGTCGGTTTAAGAGTAAGCTTAACGTTTTTCCAAATAATTTTTCTATTTTCCTGAATTAATTTTATTTTGTTGTAATGAATTTTCATTACTGGAGTAAGGCCAAGTAGAGTCCTACTAATCCTGATCCTCTCACAGAAAACAGTTATAAACTCTGGACAAAATCACACACACACACAACCAATGACCTGGTCTCCGGGTCATGAGGTACTGGAGAGTGAACAAAAGCAGATTATGGGAATGTGTCGAAATTTGGGAGAAGGGAATGTAGGAGGTTAGATCACAGTTTTTAGCCTGAGGACATGCTGAAGTTGGTATGGCAGAGGGGTGGGTAATTTGATAGAAAACAGGGAAGTCTTTTTGAGATAAGAAACCACATGACTGAGTTCAGGGCAACCAGAGCCACTTGGAAAGTGAGAGGAGAATCCCAAAGAAGAGACTCACAGAGGGGTAATCCAAATTCTGTGAATAAATTCTGCCCAAATCTCTGACTTACTGCTGAACCATGCATATTTGGCACAGACTCCTAACGCTTCCCCTAAAGACAAGAGAACTGAGCTTTTATTTTTGCTGCTGCCCCACAGACTTAGTTTGAAGTTTGAGCTCAACCCTGCTAATTACTTCATAAAACAAAAGTATTAATACTCTTCAGAGAAATATAACAGAATCCAAACTCTCCACAATTTATCATTCATGATATGGAGAATATAAGAAAAACTTATTAGACAGCCAAAGAATTAAGAAATTGTGACCCCATTTCAAGAAAAGAGACAACCAACCCAGAAGTTGGAATGAGCATATGAAGATATTAATATAATGGTGCTTAATGAAATAAAGATATACTCACAGTGAATAAGGATTTTTTTAAAAAAGAAAAAAGAGAAACAATGAAGGAAAAAAAAGAAAATTCTAGAACTTAAAAACACAATGTCTGAAATTTAAAATTCCCTGGATAAGTTTACCAGCAGAAAAATGACAGGGGAAAGAGTCATTGAACTTGAAGCAGCTCAATAGAAATGATTTAAAGTGAGGGGAAAATGATAGAAAAGATAGGAAGAGAATCTCAGGGACCTGTGGGACAATAACAAAATATCTTGAATATGTGTAGCTGAAGTCCCAAAGGGAGAGCAAGGAAAGAATGGAAAGGAATACACAAAATATTTGAAGATATAATGGCTGAAATTTCCCCCAATTTGATAAATGATATAAATATACTGATTTGAGAATATCAGTGAACTCGAAGCAAATTAAGTGTGAAGAAAACACTTCCTAGACAAGCTGCTAGAGCCTAAGGATAAAAATAAAATCTGGAAAGCCAGGGGAAAAAAACAACATAAAACATGTGATAAAAACAATTCTAATGATTGGTGACAACATCAGAAACTGTGGTGGCCAGAAGACAGTAGATCAGTATCCTTCAAGTGGTATGGAAAAACAAAATGAAACCCATCAGCCTTAAATTCTGTATCCAACAAAAATAGCTTTCAAAAATGAAGGTGAAATAATGATATCTTAGATAAAAGAATTAAGAGAATTTATCTGCAGAAGACCATAAGTTTTTCAGGTTGAAAAAAAAAATGACGCCAAATGGAAACTCAGTTCTTCAGGAAGCACTGAAGAGCATCAGAAATGGTAAATACATAAGCAAATACAAGACTATTTTAACCTCTTCGTTTCTTTATAATACTTGGGATTTTTAAAAGATTTTATTTATTTATCTGACAGAGAGAGAGCACACAGGGAGGGAGAGCAGCAGAGGGAGAGGGAGAAGTAGGATCTCCATGAGCAGAGAGCCTGATATGGGGCTCCATCCCAGGACCCTGGGATCATGACCTTAGCTGAAGGCAGATGCTTAACTGACTAAGCCTCCTAGGCACCCCCTTAGGACTGTTTGAAACAAAACTTACAACATTGTCTTATGTGGATTATAAGTTATTTAGATGCATTACATGTAACAGTGCTAGGATGAAAAATGGGGGAAGACCTAAAATGTAGAAAGGTTTCTAAATTGTATGCGATTTGGTACAATATCAACTTCAAGGAGACTATGAAAGTCAGATGATAGAGCAATCCTTAGAGAAACCACTGAACGGTAAAGCAAAGAGATATAGGCAAAAACGTAACCGATAAATTTATGAACCTCTAAAAAGCATTTTTAAATTAATAATGGAAATAGGAAGGGAAATACAGAAGAAGAAAATCAAAGAAGACAAGCAATACAAATAATAAGATGGTGGACCTAAATCCAATCTTAGCAATAATT